GTGCGCGCGCCGCACGCACGCACGCACGCACGCATACTAATAACGTGAATAGCCAGGCTGGTACCGTTGTGTTATACAAGTGGATACATGTACTGTACTACATACACGGCAGTAAAAGCTTCGCGAGAGAACACTCCCTGTAACCTTTGGCTAGCTGACCCTTCCGCTCGTGTAGCATTTTAGTAGTGCCCTCGGCTCGCATACACAGAGTAGCGGCAAAAAGCGTGTATATTCTTGACGCGAGATTAACCCGCTCGCCTGTTACACCGGCGAGCTTCTCGCATGCGGCAGCATTCGAACCGTGCTTCTCTTGCGTATTAGGAGCTGTCAGCTTGAAGGAAAAAAAAAAAGAAAAAAAAAAGAGAAATATAGAGGAGAGAGAAAAAGGTATTAATGCGAAAGAGTAGTACGAATGATCGAAACTATTATAATCAGCGAGTTTAGATTTTAAATTCAAATACAGCAAGCAAATAAAAAAGTTTTTATATCTTTTCGTTCTCAATATTTCGCTACATTGATAGAAAAGTGACATTTTTCAAAATTAATAACTTTTCAGTAGAGCACTTTTAATCCTCTGCAATCATATTTTTAATCCCTCCATTTTTGCAATCTGAGTATTTTCTGTTCAAATTTTTTTACTGTTTTAGATTTCAAAAAATGTAGAAAAATTCAGGATTATTTTTCAACATCTCCATTATATTACCAAATAGTTTTTTTTAACTCAAATGTTAAAATCTTGAAATTTTGAAATTTGAACAAAAATAAAGAAGAAATTTGAGAGTCAAGTTTTATTCGTGTCTAAAAAACCGAAATTAGAGATGGAGGATTAAAATTCTAAATTGATTTTAATTAGAATAGTAAATATATGTGCATAACTTTACTTTTCCTTCTATGTTATTTTTAATTATATGTACTCTTTAAAACTATGTCATGAGTTTTCAAAATTCCAATACTGTAACCCTTTTCTGTCAACAAAAATTTATCTTTTCTTTCTCAATGAAAATATTTTTTCCTTGCTTACAGCATCAAAGACTGATCCTCATCAAGATTACGTTGATTTCATTGACAGGTGTAGATAATTAGAGTCACTATAGAGAGTCATATCTAGTCGGGCATGATTGTGTACATGTGTATATATATATGGAAAAGAAAAAAGAATAAGGAACAAGATGAGGTAAAAGGCGATGTAAGAATAAAAGAAGAGAAGAAAGAGAAAGAAAGAACGCTGAGAAATCGCGTAAATTCAACGAATCGAGTGAAAGAGCGTGTGTTAATAAGTGTTATTGATCGCGTGATCCTCTTTGGATTGTTCCTCATACTCAATTTAAATTAATTATCAAATAATCGCGTTATTAAGCTAAATAAGCTCTTGTTTTTTTTCCAATCTGTCTTGTTGAATATTCAAGATCGTGCGCTATGCATCAAACTTCGATTAGTGCTTGCGACAACATAATGCCCGCTGCCGCCGGCTCGACACCGCTTATACAAACAAGTAAGTAGATTTCCAAGACGGCTGTAATCATGCAACGATTAAGGCCAAATTACTTACAGGTTGGAGGAGCGAGGGAATACCCGGGATGGGGTTCATCTTAGCGTGCGTGACCATTTACATTTGATCATGACTGTTGGTGATTTATGATCGGAGAAACGATATAATTGCTGTCAATTATAGTATTAAGTAATTTTTGAAATAGAATCATTTCTAAAATTATTTTACATTTTTATTGAAATTTTCGCCATCACGATGACTTTATTTTAATATAAACGTATTATATGCTGATTATGAGAATTCTAAAGCCCGCATCAAATTAGAAATTAAAATGGAATTTAACAATCAGAAGAAGAAAACTAATATCAAGCTTAATAAATTTTGTTTTGGTTGGTTAAATTTCAATTCAATCTTAATATCAATCTCTAGTCTGATACGGATACAATTGTGATTATCTTTTTTTATTTTAGTATCTATATATAATTATCCAATTAGACTGCCAATTCGTTAATTAATTTATAATTTTATAATTATACAGGCCCAACTTGTTAATACGAATATAATTGAATTTTATATGTAACAGTTACTTCGAGATTACTTTACAGGTTCATTAAAGATTTCTATTCCGGACCAAAGTGAAACAATCACGCGAGCTTGCATAGAAGGTAACATTCTTCGGGAGTCGACATAAACTGTTATTAATCCTGTGGTATATATATATATATATAT